CCTGCGGCACCGGCCGTGGCCCTTTCCCGGGGGCCGTGCAGGGGCACCCCCTTTCCACCTGGTCCAGCCTGTGCTGCTCTGCGCTAGTGTCTAGAGCCAGGCCCCCGCTGCCATGGTGGGGGAGGGGGAGACTGAGCCTCGGCAGCGCCCGTGTGTCGCGGCCCCGCCCCGCAGCGGGCGACTCGCACCTTTGCACAGGGAAGCTGTCACCAGCGCTGCCTGCTGTAAATAACGGCCCTTGGCCGCCCTCGCCCCCGAGCTGCTGCAGTGGGAAAGAGGGGAAGGGCAGCAGCGGGCTGTAAATCACGGCCTCAGCCCCTCCCCTGCCCGCTGGGCCCAGCCTGCCCTTCTCTGCCCGCAGCATCTGCGCCGTCCCTCCCTCCCTCCCCCGGCTGCAACGATAGGACTTCCCTAGGGCTGCCTCCGGGGGCCACGGGGCTCTCGCCGGACCCCAGAGTCCTCCACGGCTGCTCCCTGGAAGGTGGCTGGGGCCAGGGCAAGGCCTGCGGCCTCAGCCCCTCCCCTGCCCGCTGGGCCCAGCCTGCCCTTCTCTGCCCGCAGCATCTGCGCCGTCCCTCCCTCCCTCCCCCGGCTGCAACGATAGGACTTCCCTAGGGCTGCCTCCGGGGGCCACGGGGCTCTCGCCGGACCCCAGAGTCCTCCACGGCTGCTCCCTGGAAGGTGGCTGGGGCCAGGGCAAGGCCTGTGGCGCACACGGGTTGTAGGAGACGGGGGAAGGAGCGGGGCTGGGCAGGGGGCAGAGCAATGGGACAACAGGAAGTTAATTCTCTTCTCCAAGGGCCCCAGGCTGTGGGAACCGAGACTTCCCACGCCTCCGGGGCCAGGAGCGGGCCGGGCTGGCGTTAACCCTCTGGTGGGAGGCTCGCTGGCCACAGGAAGGAGGGGGGGAACGTTTCGTTAACCTTCCTTCAGCCTCCACCCCAAAAGGCCGACCTGGGAACCCATCACTTCCTGACCTGGCTCTCCCCTAAACCTCAGGCTGGAATCTCCCCCAGATCCCAGGGGGAGCAAAGCGCTGACTGGGGAAGAGAGGGGCGCAGGAGGCAGACGACAGCCGGCCTTCCCCCACCTACCCACGCTCGCCAGCAGAGAGAGCAAGGCAGGGCTGCGAGATGAGCGAGATCCGAGGCAGGGGTGGGCCGGGAGCTTTCAGTGCCTCCAGCAGAGGAAGCAGTGTTTCCTGCGACGTGAGATCATCCCTCAGAACTCTGCTTGGCCGGGAGCCCCGGCCCTGCACGTGGCTTTGTTTCAGGCGGAGCATTTATTTATAACCTCCCCATAGTTTTCCTCCAGGGGGTCACTGCAGGGTAATTCCAAGCCCCCAGCAACACCCGAGCGACGGCGGAAGAACCAGGCGCGATCAGTGTCCGGCGGTGTTTCCTGCGACGTGAGATCATCCCTCAGAACTCTGCTTGGCCGGGAGCCCCGGCCCTGCACGTGGCTTTGTTTCAGGCGGAGCATTTATTTATAACCTCCCCATAGTTTTCCTCCAGGGGGTCACTGCAGGGTAATTCCAAGCCCCCAGCAACACCCGAGCGACGGCGGAAGAACCAGGCGCGATCAGTGTCCGGCGGGTTACGGGAGTGAGGGTGATCAGCGTGGCTGAGCCACTCGGCCGGCACACGCCTCCCTCCCAGGAGGTTGTGACGA